GAGAGTCACTGCCGCGCAGAGCGGGCTGCCAAGCCAGAGCCAGGCTGGAGGGACCGGGACTGGATCTCTCCTTAGTCCGTGCCTGCCCCTGCCGCAGGTTAAGGCGCCTCCCGCAGCCTCCTAAAATCAAATCCCACACTCCGATTTCCCCGCTTAGCGAGGGACCTCTCAAGTTTTACCATCTGAAAATGGGGCTGTAGATCTCTACTTTATACAAGATTGCTGCTGGAGGATGTAAATTAGATAAAATACTGAAGCCCTGAGCAGGATGCCTGGCATGAGGGTTACAGGTGGTGGTAAGTGTTTGCTGTTACTGTGGTCGCTCCTAGTCCCGAAGACGGCCTTCGAGAAAAGTTGCAGGTGCCCAGGTCTGGGCGGGCACAGGACCCTGTATGCATCCTGCTGACTGTGCAGAGAGAGAGACCACAGAGAGGGAGAGAAAACCAGATGGGAAAGGAGGAGAGGGCAGGAGACGGACAGACGGACAGTTGGGAGGGAGGAGGACGGGTATAAAACCGAGCGGAGGAGTAAGAAGGGGCAGAGCCGCAGAGATAGACGACAACAGGTACAGGCGCAGGCGCAGCTGGGGGAAGGGACACCACCTTGGTGAACAGGTAGTCGCACGTGGCCCAGCGGGCAGCCCTCTTCGTTCTTTTGGGGCTTGCTGGTCTCTTCGTTGTATTGGTGGATGAAGTTTCCGGTCCAGGCGACAGCACAGTGCGGCGGCCAGGGGGAACGCCACGCTGCCGGATGCCGCCCGGAAGGTGATGTTGATACGTTCACCCAGGTCCATGGCCGGACTTGCCGCAGCATTGTTGCTGGGAAGGTGGCGGTCGCGCAGCTCATGGAGGAGGAGGCCCGCTGGCCGCCCAGGTTGCACAGCGATGGGCCCAACGGTCCCCCCAGTTCCCGGGGCCTCGCGACGTTAGGAGGGGGCGTGGTCTGTGTGCGCAAGGATCAGACGGGTATTTGTCTGAGTGCCAGAGGCTGATGGTGCATGTTGGATCAAGCCCACCACGCACGGACTTTTTTTTGTTTTGTTTTTTTTTTTTTTGAGAGACAGAGTCTCGCTTTGTTGCCAGGGCCTAGGAGTAGCTGCCGTGGCGGTCAGCCCTAAGCTCACAGGCAACTCAACTCCTGGGCTTCGAGTGATCCTCCTGCCTCAGCCTCCCGAGTAGGCTGGGACTAACAGCATGCGCCACCATGCTCCGGCTAATTTTTTTTTATATAATATATCAGTTGGCCAATTAATTTCTTTCGTATTTTATAGAGAGACGGGTCTCGCCTTGCTCAGCTGTTTCTTGAACTCCTGACTTGCAGCATCCGCCCGCCTCGCCTCCCAGAGGCTAGGATTACAGGCGTGAGCCACAGCGCCCGGCCTACACTCACGACTTTACTAGGCTGACAAAATGACAAAAAGGCAGATTTCTGTCTTTTGCTGGCCCTGGTGTGTGTTTAATTTGTGGCTCCCGAATGATGAGAACATAGGCTTGGGCGTCATTTCGAACATGGGTTCAAGGCCAGGGGCGGTGGCTCACGCCTGTAACCCTAGCACTCTGGGAGGCTGAGGTGGGAGGATTGTTTGAGCTCCGGAGTTCGAGACCAGCCTGAGCAAGAGCGAGACCCCGCCTTTACCAAAAATAGAAAGAAGTTAATTGGACAGCTAAAAATATATAGAAAAAAATTAGTGGGGCATGGTGGTCGATGCCTGTGAGTCCAGCTACTCAGGAGGCTGGAGGCAGGAGGATCGCTTGAGCCCAGGAGTTGGAGGTTGCTGTGAGCTAGGCTGACGCCACGGCACTCTAGCCTGGGCAACAAAGTGAGTCTCTGTTGCAAAAACAAAGCAAAACAACATGGGTTCAAATCCTGGCCAGCTATAGGAAAAGGGCTAAGCTGGGACCTCAATTTCCCTTGATCTCTCAATTTCTTCTTCTTCTGACCCAATATAACGTTGGATTTAATTAAGAGTGTGGGGCCGGGCGCGGTGGCTCACGCCTGTAATCCTAGCTCTCTGGGAGGCCGAGGCGGGCGACTTGGCTCGAGGGGTAGGAGTCGAAACCAGCCTGAGCAAGAGCCGAGACCGCGTCATCTACTATAAATAGAAGAAACTAATTGGCCAACTAATATATTATAGGAAAAAAACTTAGGCCGGGCATGCGTGGCACAGCCGTATCCAGCTAACTTGGGAGGCTGAGACAGAAGGATCGCTTGAGGGCCCAGGGAGTTGGAGGTTTGCGGGTGAGCTAGGCTTCGCCACGGCACCTCACTCTAGCCTGGGCAACAAAGCAAGACTCTGTCTCAAAAAAAAAAAAAAAATTAAGAGTGTGGCTTCTGGAACCTGGGTTTCAATACTTCCCGTTCTGTGACCTACCAGCTGTGTGACCTCACTCGAGCCGTCCAATCTCTTGCCTTGGTTTTCCCATCGCTAAAAAGCTAATCTTTGTTGTGGGGTGATCATGAGGGCTGAATAAGCTTTAAAAGTACTTTGCACCTTTTTTTTTTTTTTTTTATTTCCAAGACAGAGTCTCACTCTGTCACCCGGGCTAGAGTGCCGTGGCGTCAGCCTAGCTCACAGCAACCTCAAACTCTCCAGCTCAAAAGCGATCCTCCTGCCTCAGCCTCCCTAGTAGCTGGGACCACAGGCATGCGCCACCATGCCCAGCTAATTTTTTCTATATATTTTTAGTTGGCCAATTAATTTTTCTTTCTATTTATAGTACAGACGGGGGTCTCGCTCTTGCTCAGGCTGGTTTTGAACTCCTGACCTTGAGCGATCCTCACGCCTCAGCCTCTCAGAGTGCTGGGATGACAGGCGTGAGCCACCACGCCCGGCCTAAAAGTGCTTTGAACAACACTAAACAAAAGTCAGTGCTCAATTAGTGGTTGCTGTTGTTATTGTCCCTCTTCCTCTTGCCGCAGTAGGTACAACAGTTAAGAGCTGGGCCCAGCCCTGCCACTTAGCAATCGCATGACCCCAGGCCAGAGACTGTCCCCTCCTGGGCCTGTTTACTCTTCCTGAACGGGGTGATGACTGCAGCCCTGCCCTCATAGGGGTCCCAGAGTGGTGTCTTTGAAGCACCCACTCATCTCCCTGCGGGCCTGCGGGAGCCCCACCCACCTCCTCGGAGACAGAGCCCCAGGCCACCCGCGCCCACCTCCATCATGACGCGGTCCCAGAGGCGGGTGAGCTCCCGGCCCTGGTCGCTGTCCGCACTGTAGAAGGTCAGCATCTGCCTGGTGATCAGGGACGGGTTGGACACCATCTGCAGGTGGTGGAGGGCAGGACCGCAGGGTGAGCAGGGCCTCCGCCCTGCCAGCGACCCTCGCCGCGCCCCCGCAGCCCCTGCCCCGGCCTCACGTAGTCACGGTGCGTGTAGGACGTGATGCAGGAGGCGCACTCGAAGATGTAGACGACCAGCATGAGCAGCAGGTACTGCGGGGAGAGGACGGACAAACGGACACCCGTCGGGACAGAGCCCGTGAACCCACCCCCGCCCCAAAGGGATGGATCCGTGCCTAGAAATACAATGATTTTTTTTTTTTTTTTTGAGACAGAGTCTCGCTTTGTTGCCCAGGCTAGAGTGAGTGCCGTGGCATCAGCCTAGCTCACAGCAACCTCAGACTCCTGGGCTCAAGCAATCCTCCTGCCTCAGCCTCCCGAGTAGCTGGGACTACAGGCACGAGCCACCATGCCCGGCTAATTTTTTGTATATATAGTTGTAGTTGGTCAATTAATTTCTTTCTGTTTATAGTAGAGATGGGGTCTTGCTCTCGCTCAGGCTGGTTTTAAACTCCTGACCTTGAGCGATCCGGCAGGAGTTCAAGGTCAGGAGTTTGAAAACAGCCTGAGCAAGAGCGAGACCCCATCTCTACTACAAATAGAAGGAAATGAGCTGGCCAACTAAAGATATATAGAAAAGATTAGCCGGGCATGGTGGCGCATGCCTGTAGTCCCAGCTACTCGGGAGGCTGAGGCAGGAGGATCGCTTGAGCCCAGGAGTTTGAGGTTGCTGTGAGCTAGGCTGATGCCACGGCACTCACTCTAGCCTGGGCAACAGAGTGAGACTCTGTCTCAAAAAATAAAGAAAAGAAAAAGAAAAAAACAGTAAAGACAACCAGGTTGTACTTGTGCAAATACCAAAATAAACAAATAAAAGAAATAAAAATTAAAAAATAAAAAATTAAATTAAAAAAAGACAACTAGGGACATTTGAGCACAGATTGGGCATTGGAAGATATGGAGGAACTAAGATGAATTGTATGGGCCGTGCCAACAGCAAAGAGGGGGAAAAAAGCCCAATAGTTGGTGTTTAGTGAAAATTCTCTCCCTGCCTCCACCGTGCCCCTCGCCTGTAAAGCCACAGGACGCTGGGCGGGGACAGATTGCACAACCCGCCCCCCTGCTTTACAACAATATCCTTATCACTCCGAGAAGTGTGCACTCAAATATTTACAGGCAAAGGACCTGGTGTCTAGAATGAGCTTCAAAATACCCCAGGAAGAAAAAAATGTGGGCAGGCAAAGGCTGGAGGAGAGGCGACAGTGTTGGCCAGCCTGTGGTTGAAACCGGGTGACAGGTCCACGGGACTCAGAATGCCCTTCCCTCTACTTCAGTGCATGTCTGACATTTCCCATAAGAAAGTAAAAAAAAAAAAAAAGAAAAAAAAAATTCTGTGTCTTAGTTAATGACAAGTGACTAGAGGAGACACGACTCCATCTTACTCAGGGTGAAGCTGAAGTCCCACAAGGCTCACCTTCCCTATCCCTTCCTTCCCCTGGGAGAGGCTGTGGGCCTCTTTGAGCCTCCGTTTTCTCGCCTGGTAAATGGGTACAAGCCCTGACTTCGGAGGGCTCCTGGGAGGACTGAGGGAACTCATTTTCTAACCCGCTTACCCTGGTGTCAGGCACAGGAGAGACCCACGCTGGGACCTGTGGGTCGTTGTTGGTGGAGAGAGATTAAGAGCACAGGCTCAAGAGCTGAAGTGCTCAGGTTTAAACCGGCCCTACCATTCACTTGCTGTGTGACCCCGGATAAGTTACTCCCCCTCTCTGAACCTCTGTTTCAATCTCAGGGTCATGACGATGCGGGTGATGACAGTACCTCAGGGTTGGCTGTGAGAAATAAATGAACTGATCTGTGTAAATCACTGGCATGCAAGCCGTGCTGTCGCCATTTTTGTCTTTGTTACCATTGGCAGAGCTCACCAGCACGGGCTCTGGAGACCAAGTAGCTGAGGTTCAAATCCCAGCCCTGCTACTCCGGTCGTCCTGCTGTGCCCCCGTTTTTTTGTGTGTGTGCAGTGGGGGCACGGCCGAGCCTGATGATTGGGCTGCAGGAAGACGAAATGAAATGACGCCCACGAGGCCCCGGGCGCGGTGCCGTGTGGAGTCCCCGCCAGTTATTACGACCCTGCGACAGTGACCTCCTCGCCCGCCCTCGCCCTCCTCCTGGGGCCTCACCGTGAGGACCATGGAGCGGCGGCGGCACAGCGCTGCGCCCACGCCGAAGCTGGCCACCACGAAGAAGGAGAAGCCGCAGAAGATGGCAATCCAGGCGCCGGCGAAGACGTCGTCCTTGCCCGAGACGCCCATCAGCGGGTACACGCGGTACTGGTCGGCCGTCACCCACACCGTCTCGGCGAACAGGGCCAGGCCTGACAGCTGGACGGGGCAGCCGGTTGGGAAGGGCCGCGCAGGCCCGGCAGCCCTGGCCCCGCCAGTCCCCAGGAGCAGGTCGCGTCCCCGCTCTGAGCGTCCCCTGCCCTCTCGGTAAGGCGGGCACAAGTGGCCGACACCTCGCCCTCCGCGAGCAGGGCTGAGGCCGGGCAGAGGCCAGGAGGGGAGGGAGGGCCCAGCCAGACCCGCGACCCCCACAGCCCCGCTGCTTCAGGGACAAAAGGACACGCCACGTGCAAAGCCGGGAGCGCGTGCCTGGCACAGAGGAAGGACCTGCCTGGCCTACCTGCCCCCCCTTGACGGGGCCGTCATGCCCCGAGGAGGGGGACGTGCAGCCACGGTCCCCAAAATCACAAATGCATCCGCCCAGCAATGCCACTGCCAGAAACCAAGCCGAGCGCGGGACTCACACATTCACAAAAGGAAACAACACGAGACCCGACGGGAATGGAAAGCCATCGCTGTCATTCAGCATCACGGCCTCCCGAGCGCCCGGCCGTCACTTTACGTCCACAGTGACGTTGACTACGATGGCTAGCACTTGTCAAGCACGCCTGAGCTGAGGGCTATGCATAGATCACCCCACGCGACATCTCACGCCATGGGGCCGCAATCCATAGGTGAGGGAAACGAGGCTCAGAGAGGTCAACTGGCTTGCCAGCGTCACACAGCCGGGGGGAGGCGGAGCTGGGGCTTAAACCGGACTTGAGAGTCTGTGGCTCCCGCCCGCTTGGGCGTCCTGGGCCCTCAGCCCCCGCCCCACGCTGGGGACTGTCCCCCACCACACACACACCCCGGCACGGCACGGCGGCAGGTCTCACCAGAATGACGATGTTGCCCACGACCAGCAGCCCCACCACGAAGGGAGAGCCCTTCTCAGCCTCTGGTGCTGCGGGAGCCATCGTGCTGCGCGGGACACAGGAGCAGGGATGAGGCTGGCAGAGGCCAGGGGAGGGGAGAGGGGGGAGGGAGGACTCAGCTGGACCCCCCTCCCCCCCCATCTCCACGCCACAGCCCAGCTGCTGGGGGCTGCTCGGCTCTCTGCGGGCCCCAGGCTGGTACCAGCGTGCCCACCACGGGCTCAGACAGGACAGCCACAGGCCACAGTGCGGCGCTGGCCCTCCCCGGGCCTCCCTGCCGCATCCAGACCCCCGGAGTCCCCTCACCTGCTCTGCCAGAAGCCTCTCTGGCAGCCCACTCGCGCTGGCTCCCTATATATGCACGGGCCCTCCAAGGAAGGGGGGTGTCCAGAGGAGGGGACAAGAGGCCAGGCAGGTGGACCAGGATGGGCCAACAGCTTTTATGAGCTCCCTGCCACCAAGTGATTTATAGCCCTGAAATTCCAGATTGCGCTCACGTCTGGCCACACGGGCAGGGCCACGTGCCCACGGTCGGTCTCTGGTTCCCGGCCTCGGTGGCGATGGAGGGTGGGGTCGGGGAGGGCTGAGTGCACCCCCCATGTCTCTCTTCCTGGGACATGGGCCTTCCTGGGGGTAAGAGCAAGATCCGGTTGGACCCACCTACGAATCCTGAGTCTCGGAGCTGCCTCTTCTGCGTGTGGGAGCTGGGGCAGCCCAGCGAGGCCGGGGCAGGGACCCGGGCGGGCAGGTGGGGACAGGGCTGGGCCCAGACAGCACGCTGGGGAGGAGATGAGGGGACAGGTGGAGGGGGCGCTCGGCAGTCTGCCTGTGTGGGTGGGCAAAGGACGAGGCTGAGACAGGTGTGCGAGGGGCGTTTGAGGAGGTGAGTGTGCCCCCGAGGCGGGAGAGGAAGGTGCCAGAACACGGGAGGGGGCACACAGAGTGGGACTGATGGAAGAAAAGTACCCCTCCCATACACCCGGAGAAAGCCGTGGGGGGAAATTCCTTCAGGCTGCAGAGCCACAGAGACCCGGGTTCAAATCCCAGCTCCGCCTCTTCTGCGTGACGCGACTTGGCTGGTGCCCTTGCTCATCTGCAAAACGGGGTGTCTTTCCCCGGGGGCGGTGAGAACTGAGCGAGGGTCTCCCTGGCGAGGACGAAGGACCTGCGTGCTGCAGCCGGCCGCGCCCGGCCTCGCCGATGGCGCCCCCTCGTGGCACCGGGCTGATTCTGCAGGCGAAAATGGTGCCCCCAGAACTTGCGCACCCCAAGGGCCAAGGTGTTTGCTGCAAGTTTTCTCTCTGACTTCCCCGCTGTCTGCAAACCGGGCAAACAAACGGCACTCAAAATCTCATCGCAAAATAATAGGGCCATGTCAATAATTAAAATATTTTTGTTTTCACTTAGTACCTGCTAGTATTTGCAAGTTATTGATGTATAAAATGTCCAATGAAAGCAAAAAAATCAATGGGGCATGAATATGCCACCAGTCATAAAAGGAATCCATTTGTTCTGAAACATAAAGTCATATGCTTTGATGTTAAACTCTAAATTTCACTATTTCTTACCGTTACATAAGTCAGTCTTCAAAACAATAAATGTCGAAGTGCAAATTACTTCCTTAAAAAATTACAATGCAGGCTGGGCGGTGGCTCATGTCTGTAATCCTAGCACTCTGGGAGGCCGAGGCGGGAGGATTGCTTCAGGTCAGGAGTTCCAAACCAGCCTGAGCAAGAGTGAGACCCCGTCTCTACTATAAATGGAAAGAAATTAATTGGCCAACTAATATATATATAGAAAAAATCAGCCAGGCGTGGTGGCACATGCCTATAGTCCCAGCTACCCGGGAGGCTGAGGCAGGAGGATCGCTTGAGCCCAGGAGTTTGAGGTTGCTGTGAGCTAGGCTGACGCCACGGCACTCACTCTAGCCTGGGCAACAAAGCGAGACTCTGTCTCAAAAAAAAAAAAAAAAATTACAATGCAGTATTTCCTAATGCTGGACATATGCCCACCCTGCGCCCCCGCCACTTGTCCCTGAAATTCCCTCACTTTAGTCTACCAAATGCTGTGAATGACATTCATGATAGCCCCAAACTGGAAACCACCCAAATGCCCCTCAACACTGGGGTGGATCAGCACATTATGGTACCTGCACACACTAGATTAACAGTCAGCAGTAAAAGAAAATGAACTATTTATCTATACAACTGCAAGGATGGACCTCAAAAGCATTGTGCTAAATGAAAAAAAGCCACACTCAAAAACTACAATTGTATGATTCTAGATATGAAGTTCTAGAACAAGAGAAACCAATCTGGGGTGATAACAGTCAGGGTGGTGGTTACTCGTGGGGGCATTGTGACTGGAGGGGACATACGGGGGACTTCTCTTTCTTGATTTGGATGCTGGTTACATGGGGTGCTCAGATTGTGAAAATCCAGCAAGCTGTACACTCATAATTGTAAGGCTGGTGGCAGGGGCCCCCTCCCCTCCCTAGATGGAAAAAGAAAACGCTTAGTGACCTGACCTGCCAAGGACAAAACTGCCAGGCCCTGCTGAGAGGATCCACACCCAGATGTCCACCTAGATAAGAATGTTTTGGCTCCTGGATTCCACAAACACCTCCAGCCCCTCCTAAAATCCCCAGCTCTTCCCGCCAAAAGTCCCTAGCCAGGCCCAAAGGATATAAAAGGCCTCAGCCCCTTCAAACTGCGGCGACTTCCGGGGCCCCTGCTCTTGGGGCCCCAGAACCTCGTCCACGAGTGTATAATAAAGCCACGTGGTTTGGCCCCCCACTCTTTCTCTTTCTGTGTCTCTTTTCTTTTCGCCACCGCCGAAAAACCTTACAATAATAAGTGTACTTTTCTCTGTGTGTGGTTCTTTAAATTGACGGTGCCTTCTAACGAGGGTAGATCCTTGCATGAGAAAGCTAGCCAGTTCTGGCTGGAAGCAGTGGCTCATGCCTGTGATCCTAGTGCTCTGGGAGACTGAGGCAAGAGGATTGCTTGAGGCTAGGAGTTCCAGACCAGCTTGAGCAAGAGTGAGACCCATCTCTACAAAAAAATAGAAAAATTAGTTGGGTGTGGTGGTGCAATCCTGTAGTTCCAGCTACTCAGGAGGCTGAGGCGGGAGGATCACTTGAGCACAGGAGTTTGAAGTTGCAGTGAGCTATGATGACACCACTGCACTGTAGCCTGGGAAACAGACCAAGACACTGTCTCAAGAAAAAAAAAAAAAAAAAAAGAAAAAAGGAAAAAGAAAATACTTATCCAGTTCTAATCTAGCCTTTCTGATGGTGCCATGGAGAAAGGCTGTTTGATGCCACTGTGTCCTGAACACATCTCTTGCCTTGCTTAGAGCAGGCCTCAGTGTCTAACTAGACTTTATTTTATTTTTTATTTACTTTTTTTTTTTTTTGAGACAGAGTCTCGCTTTGTTGCCCAGGCTGGAGTGAGTGCCGTGGCGTCAGCCTAGCTCACAGCAACCTCCAACTCCTGGGCTGGGACTACAGGCATGCACCACCATGCCCAGCTAATTTTTTCTATATATTTCAGTTGGTCAATTAATTTATTTCTAGTTATAGTAGAGATGGGGTCTCCCTCTTGCTCAGGCTGGTTTGGAACTCCTGACCTCGAGCAATCCGCCCGCCTCGGCCTCCCAGAGTGCTAGGATTACAGGCGTGACTTTTTTTTCTTTTTTTTTTTTAAAAGAAGCCTACTTTGCAAATGTGTTTGAAACCACCTGATACCACCCCAGAGATAACTTTGCCACTAAATTTGGGATTCATTATCCTCCACACCGATTGTCTTTTTAGATCTCAGGTGTCATGGGTTGGGTTAATCCCACACCTTTGGTTTATGGCTTATTACACCCCACCTGACACCTCCTGTTTTAAATTTAATTGAATCCTTTACGTCCCAACATCCCACTATCTTTCAGTGCCACCTACTGGCAACATTCTAGTATGTTCATACATATCTTGCCTACCTTTATTGACGTGAGAGGCCAGGTGTGGTGGCTCACGCCTATAATCCTCACATTCTGGGAGGCCGAGGTGGGAGGATGGCTTGAGGTCAGAAGTTGAGGTCAGCTGAGCAAGAGCGAGACCCCCATCTCTACTAGAAATAGAAAACATTAGCTGGGCGTGGTGGTGTAGTCGCAGCTACTCGGGAGGCTGAGGAGGATTGCCTGAGCCCAGGAGATTGAGGTTGCTGTGAGCTAGGCTGATGCCACGGCACTCTAGCCTGGGCAACGGAGTGAGACTCTGTCTCAAATAAATAAATAAAATAAAATGATTACCATTGTTTCTGGTGCATGTATTTCCTAATTTACATGCCCATTATTGTGTTAGATACCTCAGGCCATTCTTGCTTTTCTCACTCAACACTATAATTGTTTTTTGGTTTTTTTTGAGACAGTTTCGCTTTGCTGCCCAGGCTAGAGTGAGTGCCGTGGCGTCAGCCTAGCTCACAGCAACCTCAAACTCCTGGGCTCAAGCGATCCTCCTGCCTCAGCTTCCCGAGTAGCTGGGACCACAGGCATGGGCCACCATGCCCGGCTAAGTTTTTCTATATATATTAGTTGGCCAATTAATTTCTATTTATAGTAGAGATGGGGTTTCACTCTTGCTCAGGCTGATTTTGAACTCCTGACCTCGAGCAATCCGCTCACCTTGGCCTCCCAGAGTGCTAGGATTACAGGCGTGAGCCACTGCATCCAGCCTAGTTTTTCTTTTTTTCATTTTCGAGACAGAGTCTCACTCTTGCCTGGGCATCAGCCTAGCTCACAGCAACCTCAAACTCCTGGGCTCAATCGATCCTCCTGCCTCAGCTTCCTGAGTAGCTGGGACTACTGGCATGTACCACCATGCCCAGCTAATTTTTTCTATATATTTTTGTTGGCCAATTAGTTCCTTTCTATTTTTTAGTAGAGATGGGGTCTTGCTCTTGCTCAGGCTGGTTTCGAACTCCTGATCTTGAGCGATCTACCTGCCTCGGCCTCCCAGAGTGCTGGGATTACAGGCGTGAGCCACTGCACCCAGCGTGTTAAGTTTTTCTTAAGAATGACAATAGTGTGAAGGAACATGTCACATTTTTCAGAGATACATCCTTAAGTATTAAAGTGTCAAGATATGTGGAAATTTTCAAGTGGTTCAGCAAAAAATAATGTGTACATACAAAGTATGACAAAATGTTAATAATTGTTAAACCTAAGTAGGTGGATATCAGAGCAATCATTGTGCCATTTGTCCACTTTTTCTATATGCTTGAAAATTTTTATAACAAAATGTTGAATTGGGAAATTATATATGGATATTAAGAAATCCTTTACCAGCAAATTGGTATTAACTGATCAACACCTAAGTGGACATATAGGAATAACATTTGTCGAGTGTCGGGCAGGTCGGGGGGGAGGAGATGGGTATATACATACATAATGAGTGTGATATGCACCAACTGGGGGATGGACACGCTTGAAGCTCTGACTCAAGAGGGGAGGGGAGCAAGGGAAATATAGGTAACCTTAACATTTGTACCCCCATAATATGCTGGGAAAAGAATAAATAAATAAAACAAAAATCTGAACCACTTAAAAAAAAATCACTGCCCTTATGGAAATTACATTCCAATAGAGAGCAATGATCAAGGATAAGTTAAACATCTGGAAAGTTAGTGGTAAGTGCTTAAGAAACAAAAGCAGAGAAGGGACACAAAGTGTGTGTGTGTGTGTGGGGGGGTAGTTGAAGTCGCAGGTTGCCTGGTGGGGGTAGGTCTTGCTGGGTTGAGTGAAGGCCCGAACGTGGTGAGGGAGCAAGTGCTTGGAAAGCTGGTGGAACTTTCTAGACCACGCAAACAGCAAGTGCATAGGACTTGAGGTTGGAGCCAGCGGGTGTGTTGAAAAGTCTCATCTGCTCACATAGTTCCTGCCACGATGAAGAGGCCAGCGAGCAAACAGAAGTGGTCGATGAGAGAGGAAATTGGGGAGCCACAGCAAATCTTCATCAAATCAAAATATTTACAAATACTTCTAGATGTGTGGACTATCTCTGGAGGAACATGCAGGAAACTGCTACCAGGGTGGCAGCTTCCAGGCAGCTGGAGTCAGGGGAGTCCTACGCCTTGACTTTTCACTGGACAGCCTACTTTTCCATTTGGAATTTTCACTGTGTTGACCATGCATGCGTGTTAGAAGGTTCTACAGTCCCTGTCCCCGTGCATGCATGAGTCCCCCGTTTGCAGGCCTTCCTCCTTGTGGACAGCCGTTTCAGAAGATCCCTCCCCAAGGCCGGCTTCCTCAATGAAGCAATTGTCTCTGCTCACCAGTCTGTCACACAACCATTTGAGAAGTCTTGAGAACACACAAACTTAGCCGAGAGACGGTGCTTCAGTCGGTCACGATTTCAGTCCCCTGCTGACAAATTTCGAGGGTGATATTCTGCACTCTTATTCTGTGGAAATTCCTTTGGGGACATTGTGAAAGAACAGTTCTTAATCTGGCATTCTTAAAGTGACTTCCAACCATCATGACAATCAACATAAAGTGTATAATTTCTCCCAGAATGCAGGGGGCAATTGCACATTGTGCAGGAGATTGCTTTTTAGGCATTAAGAATTTATTTTTGCTGAATTCTTAGGTGTAATAATGGTAGTGCAATTACGTGTGAAAAAAATCTGTATTTGTAAGAGAGATAAAGTTACTTATTTCTGGATAAAATATAATCTCCAGGATTTGTTTTAAATTATCTGTGGGGTGCTATGTTGTGAACCAGCCTAAAATAAATAAATAAATAAATAATCTGTGGGGGAGAGTGGTAGTTAGAGATGCAACAGATTAGCCCTTTGTTGATAATTGTTGAAGCTAAGTGGTGGCTAGTTGTTAATTACACTATTTTCATATGGTTCAAAAATTACACCTATGTGAAAAAAAATATACAGATAATAAGGGCAAGAAAACAGATCCATTGTAGCACATACAGAGACTTGAGGCTATTTCATATAATCACTCACACTGCTGACTGGCACAGAGGCGGTGGTCAAAGTTCAATAAAATTAAATAAAATAAGCAAAAACCAAACAGAAAAGGTAATCATGCCGAGGCTCCTTTTTGGTTAGGGTACTGATTCCACCCCTAGCTTCTTGCCCAACCGTCCAGCTCTTTCGCATACACACTGTCTTATACTTTTTCAGTTTTATTAGTTTTTATTAGTAGTTAAATCATGATTCAGGGTCCTGGGGGGGGATCACCATGTACCCAGGTCTCCCTTTGCTACCCTGGGAGAAGGACAGAGGTGGGCTGCAGCCGGTTCAGATCTTCCCAGGAAACGTGCCTTCTGCCCGGCGGTCGTCCCAGGTGGAGACCTGCAGGAAGAGACGGTGTGACTCCCCTCTCTGTGGGGCAACCGGATGCATTTGTCTTTCTCGCTTTGCCAACCTGTCCATCCAGTCAACAAATAACCACAGGTACCTGCCGTGTGTCAACCACACTTCCAGGAGCCAGGAATCAGCAGCGACTCAAAAAGACAAAAGGAGCTGACATACTGGGGAGACAGTATTGGGCTGAAAAATCCCAGGCTCACTGCAGACAGCTTTAAGAGCGCGGCTGTGCCCTGCTTCAGGAACCCCAGAGTCAACACTATGCCGCCTGTCAGAACAGGACAAAGATGGGATTCTAAGCAGCTGTGAAAAAAATGAGACTGATCATCAGTCAAGTGCAGAAAGGTGCCAAACAATACAAGTCTCCATCCCACTGTTGATCACAGTGGGCACATTACAAGAAATGAAGGGGGTCGGGCGCGGTGGCTCACGCCTGTAATCCTAGCACTCAGGGAGGCCGAGGCGGGCGGACTGCTCAAGGTCAGGAGTTCAAAACCAGCCTGAGCAAGAGCGAGACCCCATCTCTACTATAAAAAAATAGAAAGATATTAATTGGCCAACTAATATATATAGAAAAAATTAGCCGGGCATGGTGGCACATGCCTGTAGTCCCAGCTACTCAGGAGGCTGAGGCAGTAGGGTTGCTTGAGCCCAGGAGTTTGAGGTTGCTGTGAGCTAGGCTGATGCCACGGCACTCACTCTAGCCTGGGCAAAAAAAAAAAAAAAAAAAGAAATGAAGGGATGCCAGGTGCGGCAGCTCACACCTGTAGCACTTTGAGAGGCCACAGTGGGAAGATTACTTGAGGGCAGGAGTTCCAGACCAGCCTGAGCAAGAGTGTGACCTCATCTCTAAAAAAACTAAAAAAATTAGCCAGGCAAGGTGGCATGTGCCTGTAGTCCCAGCTATTCGGGAGGCTAAGCCAGGAGAAATGCTTGAGCCTGGGAGTTTGAGGTTACAGTGACTATGATCACACTACTGCACTCTGGCCAGGGGCGAAAGAGGGAGACTGTTTCAAAAGAAAAAAAAGGCTACAAGACACAGTAAGTCATAGAACAGAATACACAGTATAAACCATTCTTACACTGAAAGTTCTATAGGCTTATGTATGATAAATTAATATGGAGAAAAATACAATGAATTAACAGCAATTATCTCAGGGGAGAGGGGCTGGGGAGCACAGAGAGCTTCCACTTCCTATTTTCCTGTTCGTTCACTTTTGTTTTGTTTTTGTAAATGAGCACGATTACTTTCACGATGGTATCATATTTTGATTCTAAGACACGTGGTTTTTCATTTTAGTATCTCCGAAATTAGCGTGCTTATTCCATTCATTGCCAACAATTTTTAAAAAGATTCAAACATCTTTCAGTATGTCTTACAGTCAGTGGGGCCTTCTGATTTGATGAAGTAAAGTAACACTAAACACAAATCCTTTATTTAAAAAAAGAAGGCACAGGCCGGGCGCGGTGGCTCATGCCTGTAATCCTAGCTCTCTGGGAGGCCGAGGCGGGCGGATTGCTCAAGGTCAGGAGTTCAAAACCAGCCTGAGCAAGAGCGAGACCCCGTCTCTACTATAAAAAAATAGAAAGATATTAATTGGCCAACTAATATATATAGAAAAAATTAGCCGGGCATGGTGGCGCATGCCTATAGTCCCAGCTACTGGGGAGGCTGAGGCAGAAGGATTGCTCGAGCCCAGGAGTTTGAGGTTGCTGTGAGCTAGGCTGACGCCACGGCACTCACTCTAGCCAGGGCAACAAAGCGAGACTCTGTCTCAAAAAAAAAAAAAAAAAGAAGGCACAGCCAAGAATATTAAATACTGACGGTCTGATCCGATCAGGGTAATAAGGACTGCCTTACTGTGCCCTTATCATTTAAAGATGCCTACTAAAGTAGGCAGGGATGAAATGACATGTCTCAGATTTGCTTTAGAATACTTTAGCAAAGGAAAGAAGAAAAAGAAAAGGGACACAAGAAGAAAATGTGGAAAAATCTTAACTACTTAATGTGGGTGATGGATGTATTTGGGGTCGCTGAACTATTCTCTACTTTTATGTATACTTGAAAATGTTCATATGAAACTACAAGGATTCTAAAAAAATAAAAAAAATAAAAAAAAAAAGAAAATGTTCAGAATAAAAAGGGACACGGTTGCATAAGATTGTGAGCTCCACAAGGACAGGGACCAGGCACCGAGCATATATTCATAGAGTCCATGAGATGACCCTGGTCAGCGGGCTGAGAGCCCTGCCTAGCTGAGAGAGATGGGTGGAAGGAGGGTGAAAGGGAATTCTAGGAAGGAGAAAAGGCCTGAATCCTTGGACAGTGTGATGCCTTGTTCTCCCTCCCTCAGAGATCAGCTCTCACCACACTCCCCTCTGCTAAGACCCCACACCTCAACATCCCAAGGGCCCCAGTGGAGCACATACCCAGGACACGGGGCAGAGGGACTTGTACACACGCCGGTACCATTCACACACAGAGACATCACCCCCTTTAGCAGTCATCGCCTTCTCGCAGCGGTGGAAGTCTGTAAATAAAGGGGTTCAGGGTCAGCCCAGACAGATGGCTGGAACACAATTTTGATCAAAACTCAGAAATACTTTTTATTTCATGTTCAGTTATATATACACATATATTAATATATAAACAAATAGGAAACCAAAGTTTACAAGTGTCCTAAGAAGGGCTAACACACCTCACTAAATGCATTTTGCAACCCCCTAGAAAACTGCTGTTCAATTGGACAATTCTGGGATCAGGACTGATGGGGAAACATGAGGGGCACGTGTGGGGATCACGGAAGTCCAGAACCAGGGGAAGGGAGGGTGGTCTCAATGCTAAGATGCTGAGTCCTAAAGAGGAAGGCAGAAAAGGGATAATTTGGTTTTTGAAAGTACACAATGAAGGCCACCACACCTATAACCCTAGCACCCTGGGAGGCTGATGTGGGAGGATTACTTGAGCTCAGGAGTTCGAGACCAGCCTGAACAAGAGCAAGACCCGGTCTCCACTAAAAATAGCAAAATTAGACGGGCATGGTGAAGGACCTATAGTCTCAGCTACTGGGGAGGCTGAGGCAGGAGGATCACTTGAGCCCAAGCATTTGAGGTTGCTGTGAGCTACGATGACATCACTGCATTCTAGCCCCAAGTGACAAAGTGAGACCCTGTCTCAGGGAAAAAAAAAAAATACAGAATTAAAAAAAATTGCTTCAGGTATTCCACTCCTGGGCACATTTCTTAGAATGTTGAAACCATGCACATGGATATAAAATTACATTTATAAGAATATTTAGGCTCAGAATTTGGTGGTATGCCCCTGAGCCCGCCGGTGAAATAAAGGCTGATTCTCCGGAAAAAAAAGAAAAAAGGAACATTTATAGTGACATCTTTTTTTTTTGGCATCATTCTTAAGAACCCCAGAATGGAAATCACATGTGTCCATGAATAAATTGTGGAAAACTGTACAACAATGAACATTAGTAAACAATCTGCCACAGCACAGATGAATCTGAAAAAGTGTTGAATGAAGAAATCCAAACACAAAAGAATACATATATAGTATTTTCTGAAGTTCACACAAAGAGGCAAACCTAAACTCGGGTGGGGTAAAAACATGATCACTCTAAGTTGGTGGGTCACATCTCTAGCGGAGACAGCAGGGGACTGTGTTCAAGACACGGCACGAGGCAGGCAGGAGAGATCGGGGTTCTGGCAATATCTACTTTTCTGTATGAGTTATGGCTGCATGCAGGGTTCACTTTAGAATTACTTACTGAGCTATAGATATTTTATGTACCTCTTTTAGGTCTGTTATACATTACACACATACATCTTAAAAAAAAATCATTGTAGGAACCAAAGTTTGTGACCCTGGGCTAGACCCAAACACAGCTGGTGATGAGGGCCATGGGCCCCCCAGAGGTGAGATGTCCAGAATAAAAGGGAGGGAGCTGGGATGGATGGGTCCCCTAGGAGGAGGCAAAGGTGAGTGTGTTGAGGTGTGGGGCCAGGGGAGTTACCTAGGTAACTAACTTACCTAGGTAGTTCTGCCAGCAGTTCCTGGTCTGGTTCTGGTTGGGGAAGCGGCTGTCAAAAGGGGCAGTCTTGTAGTTCTTGATTTTGGTCTTGATGTCTTCTGCCATGATGCTGACTCCTGAAGGCAAAAGGAGTGGGTGTTGGCAGGGGTTCCGGGGAGCCCAATGAGGGAGGCCCAGACACAGCAGAAAGTGTTGGGTATGAACAAACCACTGTGTCCTCCCCTCTTAACATGCATGCAGAGATGAGGGGCTGGGATAACCTACACATCTGAGTGTGGACGTCACAGCAGTGTTTGGGGCAATCTCCTTAGTTGCCTGGTCCCAAAATAATACCAGCAAACACCCACTGAGTGCTTACTATATGCCAGGGTGCTGTGCTACATACACACTTCATTCCTACAGCCACTCTAATCCCCATTGCACAGACAAGGAAGGGACAGGGTGTTCAAGTGACTTCCCAAGGTCATCCAGCATACGAATCGTAGGCTACCTCAATCACTGGCATAAGGTACATTGCAAAGGTTCTAAATCTTTTTGGTGCCACAAACTCCTCAGGGATCTGATGAATTCCATAAACCTCTTTGTCAGAATATGTTTAAATGCATTAAAAACTGCATATGATCACAAAGAAAATTAGTTATATCTAGCTGAGGGTTTATTAAGTAACACAATTTTGAAGTAATCATGAGTGGATATGGTACTTTGTAACATTTGCAACTATAATATGATGTAAAAAATGTGTGATTTTGATTGCTAACAAAGTCACAGCTCCTCCTAATACCACTGAGGTGGTTGTGTACATTTCTAACTGCTAGAAATGATACCTTTCAGGCTGGGTGCGGTGGCTCATGCCTGTAATCCTAGCACTCTGGGAGGCAGAGGTGGGCGGATTGCTCAAGGTCAGGAGTTCGAAACCAGCCTGAGCAAGAGCGAGACCCCGTCTCTACTATAAATAGAAAGAAATTAATTGGCCAACTAAAATATATATAAAGAGAAAATTAGTCAGGCATGGTGGCGCATGCCTGTAGTCCCAGCTATTCGGGAGGCTGAAGCAGAAGGATTGCTTGAGCCCAGGAGCTTGAGGATGCTGTGAGCTAGGCTGACGCCACAGCACTCTAGCCTGGGCAGCAGAATGAGACTCTGTCTCAAAAAAAAAAAAAAAAAAAAGAAAAGAAAAAGAAATACTACCTTTCAATTAGAGGTTAGTAAAAGTATAAATTTAATTTCCCACCCCCATTCAAGTATTAATACTATCACTGCTCGAATTCTATCAACTCTGCAGATCCAGGGTTAAAAGCCTCTAATAAAATGTCTCTGAAAAGGTGACACGTAGTTTTTGTCAAGGAATCTGGGAGAAAGTGCCTGTATTCCAGAGACTCCAAGGAGTCGCGGGGCTATCCAGAGGTGTGCAGGCCAGTGTCAAATTCAAGGGGTCCAAGGTATTGGTGGGGGTCTGGGGCACTAGAATAATCTTTGAAGGGTGCGGAGAGAAGTGGGGAGGGGCAACGTAAAGCACCAGTAGCTAGGACACAGATGCAGTCTGAAGAGTAGTTATGGGCGAGATTTTGATCCCACATTTGAGGGTGACGGTGGATCGGAGATGACGCCGCGGCCCCTCCATCGTCGAAGAAACAGGGAGGGTGGACTAGGCTGCGGCCCAGGCAAGCCGCGGGAGGCCATGCCTGTGGACTGGTGACTAAGAACACTGTACCCCCAATTACTGGGTCCACATTCTGATCGCGGTGTTGCCTCGGTTAAGTCGCTTAGTATCTCCGAGCCTCAGTTTCCTCACTGTCAAACGGGGATAACCACAGGCCCTACCTCATAGGGCTGGCGGGAGGGCTAAATGAGTACAACATCCTTACAATATAAGTTGTCTAAAATGCTGTCTGGCATTAAGGAAGAACTATATAATCGTCAGCTACTTCTACTAACAGAACAACAGGCCCCCAGGGCCCAGGGCGGCCGGACGCCGCCGGCCGGAAGCCTCACCCCGTTCTCGGGGACGATAGGGTTCCACAGCCCGCTCGGCTAGGGTCCCAGGTTCCAGAGCCTTCCACACTCACCTACAGACACCCCAGATGCACCTCGTAGCTCAATGTGACCCTCGGCGAAGACGCCAGCGTTGGACAGGAAGCGGAATTAAGGCCGGCCGGAAGTGGGGATAGGGGGGAATAGGGAGTCTTCCGCGCGGCTAGAGAGCCCACGGGGAGGAGGGCGCCGAAGCCATTCAGGCCACGCCCATCAAGAGAACTCCGACCTACTATTGGGCCGAATGCTTGTTCATCATCACTCGCGGCCCAATCGTGAGCTGGCGCGGCGCTTCAAATGGCTCTGAGCTTGGGCTCGGGACGCCTGTGGTGACAGCTTCTCGTCCCCTCCGTGTCTTTACCTGGGGAGAATTACAGATCCTGGGACCGGCTTAAGGGTGGGCGTGGGGAAAATGTCCCAGCGAAAGTACTTTTATTCATGCAAGAAATATTTATCGAGCTTTTATTCTGTGTCAAGGATTTCTACAAGGGCTGAGAATACGTCGGTGCACAAAACACAAAAATCCCCACTCTTATAATTATTACGCGGTCAATTGTTAGGGGATTGAAGACAAACCAATCTCGCCCCGTGTGTCACTCCTCATGACATGAAGAATGCTCAGATGCCACCTCCCTGCTCATTATCATCTTTCCCCAAAGCCTGGAAGGCACCAAGTAACAAAGTTTCGAGTGGCCGAGGACTCAAAAACCAAAGTCTTGTGTCACAGGGAGGTGGAGTTAGGAGTTCAAACTTGGGTCTGTGAAGGATCTGGCAGAAATTGTTCCATCTGGGAAAATGACAACTCTATTGTTCTGGTCACAGAATTGTCCTTGACTCCTACCTTTCTCTCACACCCCATAGCTGATCTATTAAGAAATCTTGTTGGTTCTGCCTTAAAAACATATTCAGAATCTTCCTCTGCCACATCTGCATCAAGCCACCAGCCTGGACTATTGCAGTAGTCCATTCCCAGGCCTTCCAGCTTCCCAGTGCCCTCTATGCCCACTCAGCCAGAGGGACACTTGTAAACACCCCAGGCAGATCACACCACATCGCTTCCTCAGCCCAGAACTCTTTTCTGGCTTCTGGTCTCTTAAAGTCTATTTTTTTTTTTTATCTTTTCCTTTCCTTTCCTTCTTTTTTATTTTTGCTGCATTCGATTGGTTAGAAATGATGTTTCTAGTCTAAAGCCAAAGTTCTTACAAATGATTTCTTACAAATGATGTCACCTTCTGGGTGATTCCTTCTCTGACCAAATATTCAAAATTCATGGCCGGGCGCGGTGGCTCACGCCTGTAATCCTAGCATTCTGGGAGGCCAAGGTGGGCGGATCGCTCGAGGTCAGGAGTTCAAAACCACCCTGAGCAAGAGTGAGACCCCCATCTCTACTACAAATAGAAAGAAATTAATTTGCCATCTGATATATATAGAAAAAATTAGCCGGGCATGGTGGTGTATGCCTGTAGTCCCAGCTACTGGGGAGGCTGAGGCGAGGATTGCTTGAGCCCAGGAGTTTGAGGTTGCTGTGAGCAAGGCTGACGCCACAGCACTCACTCTAGCCTGGGCAATTAAGCTGTCTCAAAAAAATAAAAAATAAATAAAAACAAAATTCACATGTTTTTTTTCTTTGAGACATAGTCTCGCTTTGCTGCCCAGGCTAGAGTGAGTGCCGTGGCATCAGCCTAGCTCACAGCAACCTCAAACTCCTGGGCTCAAGCGATCCTCTTGCCTCAGCCTCCTGAGTAGCTGGGACTACAGGCATGTGCCACCATGCCCGGCTAATTTTTTCTATATATATTAGTTGGCCAATTAATTTCCTTCTATTTATAGTAGAGACGGTGTCTCACTCTTGCTCAGGCTGGTTTTGAACTCCCGACCTTGAGCGATCCTCCCGCCTTGGCCTCCCAGAGTGCTAGGATTACAGGCGTGAGCCACTGTGCCCGGTCCAAAATTCACATCTTGTCACTCTCTATCCCTCTTCCCTAGTTTACTTTTCCAATACACTTATTCTCACATACTATATCCATTCTTTTAAAGTATGTTTACTTCTTCTTGTCTCCCTCAACAGAAAAGAAGCATCATAAAGGAATAATTGTCTATTGCATTCACCATTGAATCTCAAACAGTGCATGGCACATAGGAAGTGCTCTGTAAATATTTGGTTTTTTTTGTTTTTGTTTTTGTTTTTGAGACAGAGTCTCACTTTGTTCCCCAGGCTAGAGTGAGTGCCGTGGCGTCAGCCTAGCTCACAGCAACCTCAAACTCCTGGGCTCAAGCAATCCTCCTGCCTCAGCCTCCCAAGTGGCTGGGACTACAGGCATGCGCCACCATGCCCAGCTAATTTTTTTTCTATATATTAGTTGGCCAATTAATTTATTTCTATTTATAGTAGAGACGGGGTCTCACTCTTGCTCAGGCTGGTTTCGAACTCCTGACCTCGAGCAATCTGCCTGCCTCAGCCTCCCAGAGTGCTAGGATTACAGGCATGAGTGCAAATATTTGTTGAATGAACGAATTTCTTTCTTTTTTTTTTTTTTTTGAGACAGAGTCTCGCTTTGTTGCCTAGGCTAGAGTGAGTGCCATGGCGTCAGCCTAGCTCACAGCAACCTCAATCTCCTGGACTCAAGCAATCCTTCTGCCTCAGCCTCCCAAGTAGCTGGGACTACAGGCATGCGCCACCATGCCCGGCTAATTTTTTTTTATATATATATTAGTTGGCCAATTAATTTCTTTCTATTTATAGTAGAGACGGGGTCTCGCTCTTGCTCAGGCTGGTTTTGAACTCCCGCCTCGGCCTCCCAGAGAGCTGGTATTACAGGCGTGAGCCACCGAGCCGGCTGAATGAATTTCTTGTGTAAACAAAGAGGGGCATCTCGGGACTAGGATAGGGAGCTGTGAGAGAGAACTGCCTTCTACTCTCTTCTCAGTTTGGCCTCCAAAGCCTCCCACGTACTGTCTTTGGTACAGTGTCCAGGTCTAATAGGGTCAGGAGCTTTTTCTTACACATTGTGTTCATCAACAGTGTAATTATTTATAGAATTACCTGTTTACATGCCTACATTCTTCCCCTTCGAGGAGATCTTCCTAAAATCCAAATCCCTTCCCAGCTTAAACCCCTCGATGGCTCCCTAGTGCCCTGGGGACAAAGCCCAGGTTCCCCCCCATGACCCACAGATCCTTTGTGAACTGGCCCATGTTCCCGCCCCAGCCACACTGATATTTTTTAACAGTGCTATGAATCTTCCACCTTCACACCTTTGCCCTTGCTGTTCATTTTGCCTGAAACATTCCTTGTCTACCTAACTTCTTACATCAGATAACCTCCTTCTCCGGGAAGTTCTGTGTTCTCCAGCTTTAGGTGGTGTCGAGGGGCAAGAACTAGGTTTACTTCCTTCACCATCCATCCCTAGCACTGGGAGGGCACACAGTAAGACCTTTCCAGAGTCTAAGTCTTCTTTTCAAGGGGGACACAGCAGATAAACTTTCGTGATTGGGTCTGATCCCTTTAAAAGTCCTGACACAGGGCGACCCCAAAGAGGTGGGGCAGCTCCCTTGTCCCGCCAAGTCCCCCGCATCTGCTCTGGTTCAAGCTAGTCCCGCCCTTCTCTTTGCCTAGCCCTTGGCCCCGCCCCGCCCCGCCCCTATCATCAAGCCCCGCCCACCTGATATCCAGCTGTTGCCCGGACCCCGCCCACAGACTCGCCCCGCCCACCGTGGCTAAGCCCCGCCCCTTTACTCTACGCGCACCGTAGACCCTACGGGCACTGGGCTAGATTTCTTTGTATGTCCCATCGCAGGGCGGGCACGCAGTAGGCTCCTTAAGGGTCTGGTCATCGCCCAGCACTGGAGGTGGGTAGCTCGTTACCCCAAAACTAACCACCGAGTTGAGAGGTCCGCAAAGACTATATGGAGGGAGCAAAGCCGGAGTGGGGACGCCTAGTCACCTAAGGGGCAGGGACCCGGGGAACAGGCAGCGAGGGGGCGGGGCTTGGGGACCTGCGCGCTCCAGAGAGGAGGGGCCTGTGGCCCTCGCGCCTGGCTTCCTGGGGAGGGAGGAGAGGACTGAAATACTCGTAGTCTTCTAGAGACCAAGGAGTGAGGACCCAGGCTCCCGGATTATGTGAGAGGACAGAGATGAGGGTCCAGACCCCGGGGCCTCCGAGGTGGGGGGGCAAACTCCCCAATGTGGGGGTGCACACCTAAGCTCCCCAATGTGGGGGTGCACACCTAAGCTCCCCAATGTGGGGGTGCACACCTAAGCTCCCCAATGTGGGGGTGCACACCTAAGCTCCCTAGCGAGGTCTAGACAGTGTCCGTGGGAAGGATGCGGCCAAGCACGCGCGACGAGTTTTATCCGGATACTTTTATTGTGTGTCTGCTCCCTGTCCGCCCCCCGCGCGGTCCGCACAGGCTAGGCCCGGCACTCGGCCCCCGAAGCGGTACGTGTACTTGCGCCCGCCGCTCTTGCGCACGATGTCGCGGCGGTAGTAGTAGCGCAGGCCTCGGCTCAGCTTCTCGTAATTCATGCCGGGCTTCCTCTTGCGCTCGCCCCACAGCCGAGCCACCTGGCGCACAGGGAAGGGGCGGGGCTTAGCCACGGTGGGCGGGGCGGGGCGGGCCTGTGGGCGGGGTCCGGACAACAGCTGGATAACGGGTGGGCGGGGCCTTGAGGATAGGGGCGGGGCCAAGGGCTTGGTTAGAGAAGGGCGGGACTAGGTTGAGCCGGAGCAGACCCGCGGGACTCGGCCCGGCAAGGGAGCTGCCCCACCTCTTTGGGGTCGCACAGCTGGAACTCGCGGCTGTTGCCCGTCCAGCGGATGCAGTTGCTACGCTCCCCGTCGTGGAGCAGCTCCAGGAGGAACTGCCACAGCTGGATGGGACCTGCGGGGTGGAGGCAGGTGAATGCCCAGGCCTCCCGGCCCCAGATCACGCCGCTTCAATGACCGGGCTCTGTCACCTCCAAGGCCCAAGGGTCCAGCTCCTCCCAACTGGGGACCCATGAGTCCAGATCGCCTCCTCCTCGGGGACCCATATAGGGGACCAAAGAGTCAGCCTCGGGGACTCAGGGTTCAGGTCTCCCACCTTGGAGATTTAAGGAGGTTAAGCCTCCCCACCTCGGTGACTCGATGAGGGTCTAGACCCTCATCTCTTTCTTCCCGCATAATCCAGGAGCCGGGGTCCTTGTCCCCTTGGTGCCTCGGAGACTGCCAGTGTCTTAGTCTTCTCCTTCCCAAGGACCCGGGAGTGGGGGCCACAGGCCCCTCCTCCCTGGAGCGCGCAGGTCCCTACGCCCCTTCCCTCACTGCCAGTTTCCCGGGTCCCGCCCCCTCAGGCGCCCAGGCGTCACGACTGCGGCCTTGCGCCCTCCGCAGCCTTCGCGGACCTCTCACCTCGCTGGTTAGTTTTGGGGTAACGAGCCAAAGCGGCACGGTCCGACTGCTGGCCCGGTTCGGAGGACGTGGCGAGAGCGGAGCCCCGGTACCCCTTCGCAGAGGCGGTGCAGTCCGCGTGCAGCCCCGGGCTCCAGCAGGCGGTGCAGTCCGCGCCCGCGGGCCCGGCCCACGAAAGGGCATAGTCCGCGCGCGGTTCCGGGTCCAGGCCGTTGCCCCAGTAGGTGGCACCGTCGGGGCCGACCGAACAGTCCCAGCGGGTGGCGCCCCTGGCCGCCTGGGCGCGCGTCCACGAGGGGGCGCCCCCCGCCGAGGTGGCACACTTCTGGCCCGCCGCCCCTCCGGAGCCAGAGAGCGGGGCGGGGCCCGGGCAGGGAGGGGCGGGGTCCGGGGTCCCGCAGACGCGGCTCCAAGGGTCCGAGGCGGCGCACGCCAGGTCTGTCCAGTCCCCGGAGCACGGAAGAAGCTGAGGAGCGGGCTCTGTGAGGAGGAACGGGTCCAAGTGAGGGGAACCCGGGTTCCCCGGCCCCTCGGGGTTCAGCCCCAGCGCTTGGGGCCCGGGGCTCCGGGATCCAGGCCATGCCACCTTGAGGGAGCAGGTGTCCCCCGTCCCAAACTCCAGCCCCAGTGCCTGAGGACCCCAGACCACGCTTCCCACCGCACACTCACCCGCCCCCCATGGCGCTTCTGGGTGCAGGAACGCGGAGTCCCAGTCCAGCTGCGGGAACCCTGCGGAGAGAGCAGCGCGCGATGACCTGGAGACCTCGCTCAGCCACCCACCCAGGAGTCCATTTGTCAGGGCCTGGGCGTTATTACCCCCGGCCCTGCTCACTCAGGACCCGGGCACCCCTCCTTCAACCTCAGGAGTCCCAGCAGGCGGGCCTCCCCGCTCGGCCCCAGAAGTCCGGGCACGCCCCCCCTCTGTCCCAGCAACCTTTCCAGCTAGTCTCTGCTGTTGGCATGTCCCCTTGGAGCGCCAGATCCGGGAAATAGAAGCCGAATTCAGCTCCGTCTGCAGACAACGAGAGGGTTAGGGCCGGTGGGGGGCCAGGTCCCCACCCGGGCACCCTCCCCACGCACGTTGTCTCAGCCCCGGCAGCCTACCCAGCCCTGTCAGCTTGTTCCCGCGAGGCACTTCCTGTGGTGATGCTTCATCCCAGCTCCACAAGTCCATGGATGCTCTCGGGGAGTGCTCTGCGCCGGGAAAAGTCGAAGTGGCACTAGGTGAAGCTGTGACACTTAGAGACCGCAGAGTCTGGGTCCCAGCCCTTGCTTCCCTGAGACCCCCGAGTCCAGGCCTCTGCTCCCGCCTTCCCCCAAACCTTGTAGCATCTAGGCCTACGGTCCCCTTTTCCTCAGACCAGGAGTGGGGACCTCAGCCCTCTTCCTCTCTCCAACCCAGGAGCCCAGGCCCCCCGCTTCTTGGGAGTGTAGCCCCAGGTCCTTCCTAGCCCAGACTCCCGGGCATCCAGTCCTCAGTTCGCGGCTCACCTCTGGCGGGTTCCTCTGCCCCCAGCCGGGGGTCTCAGCCCCATTTCATACCATGCACCCCCTCCCTCGAGGGCCTGGGCAGGGGGGAATTTTCCGAGACGTCAGAGCCGGGGGTCGCAGCCCGGGTCAAGTTGCAGGGCGGGGGCGGGGCCGAGCCGCGCCCCCCGCCTCATGGATGCGCGCTGGCCTCTGGGGCTGTCCTGCTGCAGGCACGATTTAGGCTGGGATGGGGACTTGGGGAACAGCGGGCTGGGCGAGACGGGGGGCGGGGGCTGGGGGTGTTTACGGGATGGAGGGGCAGCGCAGGGGTCTTGGGGACTTGATTCTCCGACATGGAGGGTGGTGAGGGAGGAGGGTCTGGGGTCAGCAGGGCTGCGCCAGGCTTATCTGTAACAGGAAGAGGGATTTCCGGCCAGATACCCCCACCCCCCCAAGCGTCAGCCGACGTCACAATCGGCAGGGTGACTGCGGGGTGGGGGGGGTTAAGCGGGGGTGGGGGAGGCCGATCCGAACCCCCCACCAGTCCCGCTGCTCCCCAGGAGTGTCAATCATAACAATATCAACAATAACAGTAGTTAATAACAGCTGACATTAAATGAGGGATCATTGCGCTACCAACTGTGCGATAGACCTTTTAATCCTCATGGGAGGTAGGTACTATTCCTATACGCATTTTATGAGGGGGGAAATTGAGACAGGCTTCCTCCCACTGCCCCTCCTCTCCAGAGCCCATGCCCTTGCAGGCTATAATAGTTTGCGACAATTGGGGAAATTTGAGTAAAACTGAATAGGAGATACCATATATTTTCTTAGATGTGATAATGGGCTTGGTGGCTCACGCCTGTAATCCTAGCACTCTGGGAGGCGGGCGGATTGCTCAAGGTCGGGAGTTTGAAACCAGCCTGAGCAAGAGCGAGACCCCGTCTCTACTATAAATAGAAAAAAATTAATTGGCCAACTGATATATATAGGAAAAATTAGCCAGGCATGGTGCTGCATGCCTGTAGTCCCAGCTACTCGGGAGGCTGAGGCAGGAGGATGGCTTGAGCCCAGGAGATTGAGGTTGCTGTGAGTTAGGCTGACGCCACAGCACTCACTCTAGCCTGGGCAACAGAGTGAGACTCTGTCTCAAAAAAAAAAAAAAAAAAAAAGGCCGGGCGCGGTGGCTCACGCCTGTAATCCTAGCACTCTGGGAGGCCGAGGCTTGGCCAACTAATATATATATATAAAAATCAGCCGGGCATGGTGGCTTGTGCCTGTAGTCCCAGCTACTCGGGAGGCTGAGGCAGGAGGATCGCTTGAACCCAGGAGTTTGAGGTTGCTGTGAGCTAGGCTGACGCCACGGCACTCACTCTAGCCTAGGCAAGAAAGCGAGACTCTGTCTCAAAAAAAAAAAGAGATGTGATAATGGTCTTACAATATGAAAGATGGCTCTTAGGAAATGGACACAGATATTTAGGGATGAGGTGTTACAATGTCTGCAACTTGCTTCAAATAACTCAGCAAAAAACAAAAAAAAATTCATACATGTACCATATATTCATACATACTGACAGTATTTGAGACATACCTAATATTGGGACATACACAACTAAAAAATTACTTATTGTTTACCTGAAATCCAATAAGTAGATGTCCTATATTTTTGTTTGCTAAGTCTGGCAACCCTTGACCCAGGTAACCTGGCTTCAGAGACTATGCTTGTGCCCATCCTGCTATATTAATAAGTAAATATTTTCCATTAAAAATCACTTTTTAATATGGACGTTTTCCAATAGTCACCTAGCTTCTTGATTATTAACCATTGCCATTCTGGAGGGTGAGAGGAGGGGAGGCACTGCACTTCTGTCCATTTTACAGAAGGGAAACTGAGGAGGGTTTACTTCAAGAGGGAGAGTCACTTTATCAAGGTCACATGGGACTAGGATTGAATCCAGTGTTGGTTGAGCCACCAAGCCCTGGGGCATGACTGGTCCCTCCATCCACTCAGCCCCAGAGCCAGAAGGGTCCTGGCCTGCCCCACCCCACCGGGCCACAGGCTTGCTCTCCGGGAAGCTGGACTCTCCTGCCCTGTTGAGGTTGGTGTCCCCAGCTATGGATCTCTGTTCCCCTCCAGGCCTATTCCAGTGAGGCCTCATCGCCCAGTCTCTTTTGACAAGTGGCTGTCCCTTCTCATCTCTGAGTGTTCCTTTCTTCTTGTCTGTCTCCATCCGTCTCTCTCTGGGTTTTCTCCCCATCTCCCTTCCCACTGCACTGTCTCTGATAATTCTCATCTCCCTCCTCTGTCTCTTCTTGTCCTCAGGAAGACTTGTGTGTACTTTTAAAACCCTCCTTTTGTCCCTTGCCCCTACAGTTGCAGTGAAGGGGATCAGGTAGGAAGGGCTAGTGAGGAGGGGAAGGGGGTTTGAGGGCCTGGGGCTGGGTGGTCTAGCCCAGGTAGGGGGGGTGGCTGAAGGGCACTTCCTGCCAGGGAGGGAAGCCCTTACGCCTCTGACCAGACTGGAAAATGTGACGTCAGAGGGGGCAGTAAGGGGGGAAAGACAGGAACAGAAGAAATTTGACACCTCTCCTGGGTGACCTCCTTCCTGAGGCCTTGGTATTGTCTCCTCCCACCCCACCCTTTGTGTGATGCCTGTGTCCTGGCAGACCTTCAACCCCTCCCCGCTCAAGCCCTGCAAAGTCCCTCCTCTGGCCTGGGCCCTGCCACAGCCTCCTCCAGACCCCCAGCCCACAGTGGTGGTCTCTGTTCTCTCAAAGGCACAGATCTGTGGCGCCAGTCCCCTGCTTGCTGTTAAGGCTTCCTTGGCATCTCCAGGACTTGCTGCTGCCTTCAGGGTAAAGTTTAAGCTCTTAGTCTGGCATTCAAGGTTCTGCACCTCGTCAGACAGGCAGAGGCCAGCTTGGAACTGGGAAGGGGCGGGGGAGACACCCACAGACACAGAGAGACTCAGAGAGATCTAGACACTTAGAGACACTCAGAGATACAGAGATACCCATACAGAGACATATAGCAACATAAGTCAGCTGGGGTTTGGCAGAGTGAAAAAATGGAAAACAGTGTGGGAGACCCGAGAGTAAGAATTCCAGGAAGAAAATTAGTCTCAGAAGTGGCAAGAATGGGGCCGGGCGCGGTGGCTCACACCTGTAATCCTAGCACTCTGGGAGGCCGGGGTGGGTGGAATGTTTGAGCTCATGAGTTCAAGTCCAGCCTGAGCAAGAGCAAGACCCCATCTCTACCAAGAAAGAAATTAATTGGCCAACTAAAAATATATAGAAAAAAAATTTAGCTGGGCATGGTGGCACATGCCTGTAGTCCCAGCTACTCAGGAGGCTGAGGCAGAAGGACTGCTTTAGCCAGGAGTTTGAGGTTGCTGTGAGCTAGGCTGATGCCAGGGCACTCTAGCCCAGGCAATAGAGCGAGACTCTGTCTCAAAAAAAAAAAAAAAAAAAAGAAGTGGCAAGAATGACAGTTCCTTTAGGAAGCCCTTTCTGCTCCACAGGGCAGCAGCCCGGGGTCCCCCAGCCCTACCCTGACTGCTCTGGGCTCTGTCTGGCATCAGCCTTTCTTCTGCCACTGGACCATGAGCTCTGAAGGAGCAGGGCCCGGGACTGTTTTAGTCTCTATTGTGTCGCCAGCATTTGCGAGTTTGCTAAAAGCCTAGAAGGCTGAGCTCCAGAAGGGTGGGCCTAGAAGACCCTCTACTTGGTGCTGAGAACACAGGCTGGAGTGAAACCTGTGACCCCTTCCTTCTCCTCAGGAATGGGCTATGCTCATCGTGCACTGGGGAGATTTGAAGCAGAGCTAATGGGTACACGGTAGGGGCTCCAAAATGCTCATCTGGATGTCCGGGTAAACTTTCAAGGCTTCCCACAACTTTCAGGTGGGGGGATGCCAACCCCCACTTCCCAGAGTGCTTTCAAGCCCAGCCAAGGATGGAAATGAACATAAATTTATTGAAATTGGTTTTGAGACAGGTGGGTGGATAGTTGGGGGTTCTGCAAAGACAGCTGTGGGGAGGAGCCAGCGCCCGGCCAGATGGGATCGGGTGCCTGGCCACAGACCCTATCTCAGGCCCAGCTTCTTCTTTTCCTTCTGCTTCTTGCGGACCACGTCCAGATTCCGGTCCTTCCACATGCTCTTGCGGAGCTTGATGGGACGTGAGCCCACATACTTCCCTGCAGAAACGGAGGGCGCTGGTCAGGCCTGGGGTCAGGCCTGGATCAGACGCCTGCCACAGCCACTGTCCCTAGGGGAGCCTCACCCACCGTTCATCTCACGCATGGCGCGCACGTAATCGCTGGGGTCCTTGAAGCTGACGAAACCATAGCCCTTGGTCTTGCCCGTGCGCTTGTCACGGATCACTTTAGCCTTAAGGAAGGATGGGAAGCGGCTGAAAGCGCGTGCCAAGATGTCATCATTCACTTCATTGCCCAGATCCCCACAAAAGATCCGGAAGTCATCTGGGGATGGGAGACAGAAAGGGTCAGAGGAGACAGAAAGGGTCCGGATTCCTGGCCAGAGTCTACTTTGTGTGAATGCCCCACTTTCTCTGGAGTCTCTGCTAAGCACCTGGAGAGATCTGTACGTATCTGGCACTCCCGACAACCCTTTTACACCAAGGCATAGAGAGGTCCAGTCATCTAACCAAAGCCACCCAGCCAGGAAGTGGCAAGGCTGGGACAAGAGTTCAGGCACCTGCCTCCACAGTCCTTATTTTAACCTCCGCCTGTACTGCCCTTCCCCACCCCGGGCCATCTCACGCATTCCTGTGACGTAGCCCCTCACTCTGTTCCAGCCCCGGCCTTTCCACTGAGCCCCTGGCACTCCTTGGTGTCCCGGACACCTTCCCATGGACACTCCCTGGGTCCCTAACACTCCCTGGCCTCCCATTATGGCACCTCAGTGACACAGGCTTCATCTTCTCTCAGCCTTGCTTCCTCTGCCAAGCCTATGCTAACTCCCCCCTGAACCCTGGACATACTGCCTGAGACTTCTCCAAACTCATCCTTCTCCAAAGCTGAGCTCAGCTGCCATTCTCAGCCTTACCTTCTGGGTCAGGCCTGTGCCCCTACTGAGCATGCTCAGTCCCAGTGAAGCTCTATCCCCATGAAGTTCATGCTATTATTCCTTTTTTGGCAATGAGGAAAATGAGGCTTGAAAAGATAAGTAACTTGCCCAGGGTCACAGAACTAAGGTCTCAAGCCTGCACTGTCCTGTCTGGACCTCGCTTGGGGCAGTAGAAGGTCCTGGTAGAAGAGGCACAAGTCAAGGACTGGGGTGGGAGACGGGTCTGTTTCCTTTCTCAGATATTGCTGTGGCTGCCCATGGCTTCTGTGGTGATGAAGGATACTCTTTGAGAACACAGTGGGCCACCCCAGGAGCAAACAAACCATCTGACAAACTCA